GCGTGCCTGCTATGTACGTGTTGTACGTGCAGCTACGCTTGCGTGCGTGCGTGCGGCTAGCCAGCGTCAGCGTGCGGGCGGGCGTGCGGTGCGTGCGGTGCAGTGCGCGGCTGGCGTGCGTTCGCGTGCGGTATGTGCGCGAATCATCTTCTGCTGCGTAGTGACCGCTTCAAATTTGCCATGAATATGAAGCCGGGTATCAATTTAACTGTATTTTCACTGCTTTGACATACACAATTTAAGTGTCATTTATCCTCGCGTACTACAGGTGCCGATGGTGGAGTTACGGGGCAATTTGGAAAACACAGATCAGCATATCCTATTTGGCGAGCGAATCCACGCTTCTTCACGTTCGGCGCCTGTATTTTATGTCGGCGTCCTATCCTCCTTAACCGCGCCAGGTTAACATCCTGACGCGCCAGCGTGCGAGTAGGAAGGCATTTCCGCGCACGCTCATTACAGCTACGCAAACGAGACGATGACGCATGATCGATGACGATGACGATTGATGATGATCGACCGATGGACGATTGTGATGATGGCTGATGACGATGATTATGAACGACGACGATGATGATGACGATGGATGCACGCGTATATGTTGTTGCATTCATCATCGCGGCTATAAGAGGGTACAAGCAGTAAGCGTCCGCAATTGTTCACCGCTTGCACTTGATATCCGTCTCTAGAAAATGTCTTTTTTTTTCGCATATTTGTTCGTGCAAAAATACGGCACTAGAGCGCAATAATTTGCAGTTATGCACGCAAGTGTAAATGGCCTCGTGGAACGTCTAGAAATCATTAGAAGTAAAATTTGGTCTGTTTGTGTATTCGTGACATTCCGGGTCAGGGTTTGGCGTAGCCGACAGCGAGCGTTGTGTACATTTTTGTCTTTGAAACATGTGTATCAGGTGTGCCTAACCAGCATGGAGCTAACATATAATTTCCGCATTGATTTCTGTGTTTTGGGGGCTCAATTTCAGAGATATCTCAGGCTTCACGGAGTGATATCTGCAGCTTCTGGATGTTCATACCAAATTTGAAATTCGGGTCGCACAAAATAAGGAATGCTCTAAATTACTTTATCCTAAAATTTCAAGTCCTACCGCATCTTCGCCTGCTCATATCATAACCAACCAGTGAACTGTCTCGCTTTATCACGAGATGGATCGCTACGACGTAATAGCCTGTGTAGAGAAAGTCAGCTGTTTCACTACTGCCAACTACCAAATTAGCCCAGGCGTTTGGGACAGGTACTTACAACAGGGAATTACAACATAACTGCATCACCAAATTCAATCAAACATATCTTTAATAAAAGAAGTGTTTCTCTGCGCCCTCTACTCATGAAAAATAATCAATGAAAAAATGTCATGCTAATTAGTTTACTTTAAATTGTAAATTTATACAAAAATGTTTTTTCACATTCTCTAGAAAAACAAAGGGTGAGACCTAAACTTAAGCCCAAGTTGTTCATCAGTATGAACTAGTAATCAGTCCTGCTGGAATTTTTTCCCGCAAATTTTATAATGTTTTATTTTAGGAAATGAGTTGAAAAAGAGATGGTGTCCGGGACTGGTCAAATCTCCCATTGTTTGTTATTTAATGACACAGATATCGTAAAATAAAGAGCCATAACTTCTAAATAAAACATTGAAAAAAATCCAGGGAACGTTTACTAGTTCATAACTACGAACAACTTATGTGTTAAAACTTTATCGTTCCCAACCTTTTGCTGTTTCTGAGCAAAAACAGTGGAAAACCCCACATTTTTTTGTATAAATTTACCAATTTTTGCCGTAATTAGTTGATAAATTTTTATGGTTATTTTTTCTGGTGAGCGTAGAAGAAGACTCTCTTTTATTAATAGATAGTGTGTTTGATTGAATTGCTGTGAGCAGTTATGTTGGATAACCCCCTTACCTAAGATACTTGTCCGTAACCCTGATGTATCCTTATAACGCCAGGAATTGATAACGCGGATGCATCCCGGATAAAGGGCATCGGCAAACAAGGGCACTACGATCAGGGGCACCGGGATCAAGGCGGTGTCAGGGGGGCAGAAATTAGCTGTGGCTACGTTTACAAGGCAGGCGCGCAATAGGTTTAATGGATGTCGGTTTGGAGCAATTGTGTTAGACATTTATTATTTATCAAAACTGTCCGTTTTCTTTCGAAAATCCAGACAATTTTTATACATAGTTTTTCTTTTCTTTAGTTCTTTGGCGATTCGAGACCGAGATCGTCGTCTGAGAAACGTTGAAAAAATCAAGGTTCCCCCCCCTCCTTCAACCGAAAATACGATTATTGTAGGCCAAGAATTTAATACGTCCGTGTGCAGTAGCAGAGATTATGTCTCATAAGATTACCTGCGGTGGTATCTTAGCAAGCTAGAGCTCAATATCGTTTTAAATATAAGTCTGTCGAAAAGTCATTAATTCATTCAGGTACAGCGGCGTAGCCTACTCTCTACTTTAAAATGTATACGTGTAACTAAATACCATTTTCCGTTTTGAAGAATTCGTCTTACGAAACTCAGTTCATGGCCACGGCAAAATCCATGAGATTTACTTATGTTAACATAACTTTCTGGATCTGATGCGCCAAGCCAGTGACGTTTAAATTATACATTCTAGTGCAAATTATACATTCTCCGGATGAATCTTCCCCATGACGTATACCGGGTACAAGCTATACTATATATGTTGCCTATCATTCTATA